TGCGCAGGAGTGGAGGGAGGGAAACCACTGCCCTCTGAAGGCTACATCAGGAATGACACTTCAGAGAAATAAAAACTTTTTTTAATGGTGTCCTTTTTAAAATTGATTTTCTTTCTTTTGGAAAATCGGGACTTTTTGAACACGCTGCGGGACACGGGACAAATTATTAAAAATTGTGACTGTCCCGCCAAAAGCAGGACGTCTGGTCACCTTATTGTAAAGGTGCCCCATTGTCTAGCTTTGAATTCAGAAATTAAAGAGGGTCTGGTTAGAAGCCACTTGTAGAACCCTTTCATCCATAACCTTCTACAAATGTTTCTATGAAGTCTCTAGGAACTGAACACAGCCCGAAAAAGCTTTACCTTGACCTATGCTGCTTTTTAAAAGTAGTCCCTAATAGCTACTACCACTTTGTATATTTTTCTGTGACTTTTTGATAAAACACCATTTAAATCATAACATATTTATTAATATTCTGTAGATGGCAATAAATAAGAGCCAAGCAAATAGCTCACTTTCATTTGAGAGATAAACTATTTTTTTAGATATAACTAAAATGCATTGCTTTATAGTACAAGAGTATGTGTTTATTAAAAGTCCAATTACAAGTTTAATCCCTATTAAGTATGCAAAGATTGCATCCTTAGAGTCAGTTAAACTGTTAAATGAAGTATAATCATTAGCCTAGTGTGGTTCTGCAATGGAGACGCAATCCTTGTGTGTCTAATCACACTTGGTCAAATAAAACTGTTCTGTTCTGTTCTATTCTATTCTATATAGAATAATTAAATATTTACTTTCTGGTTATTTTTATAATTGGCACCTCTACTGTGCTTGAATCTAAAGGTATGAAATGGACTTTTATTTTTTTATTAATGTAACTTAACACTTTGTATTTGGAAGTATTTTTCATTTTTTCTCTTTTACTTCTCAGTAATATGTCAGATGCCCTTGCAAATGCTATATGTGAACGCTGTCGAGCCCGTTTTGATCCAACTGAACGTATTGTAAACAGCAATGGAGAACTGTATCATGAAAACTGCTTTGTCTGTGCTCAGTGCTTTCGCCAGTTTCCAGATGGCCTCTTCTATGATGTGAGATTATTATACTTTTAATAGTTGGGAAAGTTACTTAGTTTTTTTCCCTTCCTTGACTGAGAAGCATAACTGAACTATTTTCTATGCAATATACAATTGCCTCAGTTCTAATTTCAGTGTTCCATTTCTCTTTTCTCCCCTATGTAATTTTTAATATTATCCATTCAGCACAGTCTCACTTTCTTAGACAAATAGCTAGAAGAGTTCAGCAGTTACCAGTTCAGGTACCGTGCTAACCATATTTCTTTAGCTTAGAATCTTGGAGAAATATAGGAGATAGAAGTCAAAAAATTTCTAATCAGCATAATTTAAGAGAATGCTAAATCATAATTTAGAACTATGTGTACTAGCTTGAAACCCTGTAGTCCTTTCACATCCTCTGGCACAAAGATGATATTGGATGCTCTCATTTCTATGAGCATTAATTGAAGATCACAAATCTAAACATTAAAATATGATGGGATGTGTGTAAACCAATGTCATAAACCAAGCATGAAAGTCTACATGTTTTAGTTAGCCATAGGTAAGAGTAACCATAGTTTATCCCGCTTTAAACATAAAATTATACTGTACTCAGTTAGCATTAGGAGTCATGATACTGAAACAGAAGGAAGGAAAAACTAATACTAAAAGAATAGGCTCAATTATGTCTCCCTTTGTTTTTGTTAATTGATTTAATTTAATAAAAATGCAAGGCCAAACAACGTCAGAAGATTTTGAACTATTAGCTCTTGTGCATTAAAAGCAAATCTCTTTATAGTCAATAAAAAGGCATATTTAAAATCAGAGCGATTTTAAATGAGATAGTGCTATTACAAAATATCTAATTAATATTACAATTATAATAACTATTGTGATTTGAAGGTGGAATGAGCTTCCCAAAAGTAAGAATCAGTACTGCAAGATCCCCCAGATTTTGATGAGGAAATACTATTGCTTTGCATCTGCATGCTCTACA